TCGAATGGCCATTATTATTTGCCAGCATGGACAATGTCTGTCATGGATGTTTTGCAGCACAAAATCTGACTGAACGGATAAAGACTGGAAAATAACAGTAATTTTAATTTGTTAGACTATTTTATCTACAGCTCGTTAGAGGTAGAATTCTTTAGTGAAATAAAGATGATACTTATTTAAATGAATTCGAAGGAGAGAGAGAGAGAACGAACGAACGCATGCACCCGCGAGCGAGCGATTGTGAAGCATTGCAAACAAGCTTGTCGGTTTAATTACAAAAACTGCTTAGTTATCACCTCATTGCTGAGAAATATATGTAGCTTTTAGCTGTTGTATTTTCAAAATAATCGGATATGTGTGTTTAGACGTAGGTCGGATGTCCAGATATCAGATGTGTATCCGATTAAAATCCACATTTGGAAGTGGCTCAGATCGGATGCAAAAAAATCGGATCTCGTGCGGGTTTTTGTGTTTACACGTGGGAAACAAATTCCGATCTGTGTCAGATGTGAGCGAAAGATCGGATTTTTTGTGCCAGTGTAAACGCAGCCTAAGTCAGACTAACTGAAATAAGCCTGGCTTTTTTGGTAAACTTGTTTTATGAAACCACAACACCAGAACTTTTTGAAAAAGTCAATTCAATGAATTGCTTAGCAAAATGATTCACTTTTTTTAAAAGCAATTTGAAAAACATTGCACACTACCATCAACTGCTGCTCAAAATTGTGTAAATTCAACTTTTACAATGTGTACTGACAAATTTGAACAAATTGCAAATGTTTTCATGAAGTTGTAATCTTATAAATGTATCTACAAATCACTAACTACCAATTAACTAAATATGAAGTGTCTGTATAATTTGATGTGCTAGTTTTTTGGAAGGGCTTGGCTAGTCAGAACATTTAAGAATATTAACTGTTACTCTGACTGACCTCCCTGGCCAGTGTACTGACTGCTGAACTAGGGAGCTGATTGAGAGGCATCCAAATATTTCGTTTGGGTTTATTTTTCTTCCTGTTAAGCAATGTCATCTTAAACACGCAGTTTGTGTCCAAACACACAGAACAACTCCAGTTGACGTACTATTATAAAGATGGCGTTTATTAAAGTGGAAAGTGAAGACATGAGGATTGAAGAGGATTTCAGAGTGAAACAAGAAGATGCTGAGGAACAAGCAGGTTGGTTTGTATTCTTAAAAGTGAACTCATTCATGTTTTCCTTATTGAAATGTTTCACTTTTCAGAAATAAATGATATTTTTTTTTAAATACTGTATGAGTTGCCTGATTAAAGTGATTTTGTTTGACATAGATCAGGTCGCCCCATGTGTGCAGACATGTTGAGATCACAGGACCAACCAGGTCCAAATTTTGCCTTCATTTTTACAATGTGTCATGCATTAAATTATGAAAAATAAGTAGCCTTATAAAAATATTTAGTGTAACATTTATGACAATAAGTAATGATAACCATTCATTTCTATCACTTAAAGGGTTGGTTCACCCAAAAATTAAAATTAGCCCCCATTATTTACTAACCCTCAAGCCATCCTAGGCGTATATGACTTCCTTCTTTCAGATGAATCCAATCGGAGTTATATTAAAAATTGACTTTGATCTTCCAAGCTGTTTGTGAGTCTCGTGAAAACCAACGTTTGTTAACAGGAGCAAAGGAAGCAAAGTTTCCTTACTTTAGCAAAGGAAAACCAGTCTCCTCTTGGCTTATATCAAAATCCTCTGACATTCTTCTTTACAAATCCTCGTTTTGTACTTCTAATTCGTGACCGTTTTTTTGTTTTGATCTCTCCCCTGCGCTTCTGCGTGCATCACTTCTGAGCGGCGCATGCACAACGCCAACCTCATACGTCATCCGCCCGGAACTGCTTCCGTGTACAACAGTGAGCGCAAGCTAGATTAAATTGATTATTACATTTTAAATATGGTTATTCTTCTTACAAAAACGCATTGATTTGATACAGGAGGCCTTTGTTCACCCCCCGGAGCCGTGTGAGGCACTTTTTTATTATGGGTGGATATGCCTTTTCAGTTCTTTTGGACTGATGCGTGCAACACCCTCTGACTGCCATTAAACAGCTTGGAAGATCAAAGACCATTTTTAATATAACTCTGGATTCGTCTGAAAGAACAAAGTCATATACACCTAGGATGCCTTGAGGGTGAGTAATTAATGGGCTAATTTTCATTTTTGGGTGAACCCTTTAATTATGCAACAGCCTATCTAATAAAAAGCAGTGCTGGGGTGACAATAGTTTAATGGCTGGTAAAAATATGTTTGACGGTACATTTTCTCAATTCACTGTTGGCAAGTGCTTTTGTATTCTGTCTTGTTTTTGCAAGCCTGATTTCAGCTTTTATTTTGTAGCTTCATTTAAAAATTAGCCACTAAGTTTCTAAATGCACAAACCCTGCACTGCTGGTTGAAGTTTTTTTTTTTTTGGAAAAGGAAATTTCTAACAGGAGAGGAGAAAAGAAGAAGATTAGGAAAAACTACAGCATCATTTTATTCCTACTAATACCATGTTATCAAAATATTACATATTATAGAACAGTGTTTATGTGGGCCCCAACCCCAGTGAGTGAAAATCCACTAGCATCTCGACCTTTTGAGTTAAAAATGACACATCCTTTGCAGAAACAACAGAAAACCAAAGATTTGTACCAAAAACAAATATTACTGATAACATTAAAATTGAAGTGGTCATTATTAAAATAACAGAACAAGTTGTAAATGAAGATTTACATATTGCGAATTTGTGAGATTAATCGTGATTACTTATTTTTATGTATTGACATCAATTGTATTTTAAAGGGAAGCTAAATCCAAAAATTAAGTCTCTTTATTTTTTTACTCAACCTGCCACCCCATATGTACCTGACTTACTTTCTTTAGATGAACACATACAAAGATTTGTAGAAAAACAATCCAACTCTGCGAGTCTATATAATGCAACCCAAAAAGTAGATGGTTCAAAAAGCCCACAACAACCACGATGGCAACCCATACAACCCTAGTGGATGAATCAGTGTCTTCTGAAGCGGACCGATAGGTTTTGGAGAAAAATAATATTTTAAACTTTCAGAACTATAAAACATTGCTTCTGGCCAACTGTCATACATTCATGCATTCACACTTGACGTAAAGGTAACGCATTGTGAAGTGAAATGATGTGAAGCACATTGCATGAATGCTTGTGTGAGAAGAGACATCCTCTTGAAAGTTCTGAGATTACAGGAAACACCTCTTTCAGTAAGTTTTGATGCTATATGTTTGTTTTGATGCTTTAATGCTGGTTATGTTGGTTTCGATGTCTATTTTGTGACATTAAAATGGTGTTAACATGCGTAGTATTTTTTTATTTGTTTTGCTTTTCCATTTTAGGTCTGATCATACTGAAAGAAGAAAGTCACGAACTGAATGAAATGAAAGAGAAAGATAAGCGTGAGAAGCTTCATGATTTCATAATTGGAGAAAAATCCCATCAGACTGGAAAAACGTCCTCACGAAAAAGAGCTCAAAAGACAGACTCTAACAGTTCTTTTACCTGCTGTCGGTGTGGAAAGAGTTTCAATCAAAAACAAAACCTTGAAGTCCACATGAGAGTTCACACTGGAGAGAAACCTTTCAGCTGCCAACAGTGTGGAAAGTGTTTCACTCAAAAAGGAAACCTTAAAAGTCACTTGAGAATTCACACCGGAGAGAAGCCTTACACCTGCAAACTGTGTGGAAAGACCTTCACAGCAGAACCAAACCTTAAGTATCACATGAACATTCACAATGGCGTGAAGCCGTTCACTTGTGATCAGTGTGGAAAGAGTTTCACCCGTAAAGTAACCCTCAATTACCACGTGAGAAGTCACTCGGGAGAAAATGGTTTAATTTGTCATCACTGTGGAAAGAATTTCAGTCACAAAGTAAGCCTCAAGACTCACATGAGGCTTCACACTGGAGAGAAGCCTTACACATGCCCTCAGTGCGGAATGAGTTTCACATTCAAAGCATCCCTTGATTCTCACATGAGAAGTCACACTGGAGAGAGTCCTTACACCTGCAAAGTGTGTGGGAAGAGCTTCTCGCTAAAAGGAAATCTTAAGACTCACATGAGAGTTCACACTGGAGAGAAGCCGTTCATGTGTGTTCAGTGTGGAAGATGTTTCACACGAAAAGGAACCCTTAATTGCCACATGAGGATTCACTCAAGAGAGGACTGTTTTATATGTCATGAATGTGGAAAGAGTTTCCCAGACATGAAACACCTAAACAGACATGTAATAACTCACTCCGGAGAGAAGCCTTTTAAATGCCAGCAGTGTGGAAAGGGATTCCAATTCAATAAAAACCTTCAAACTCACATGAGAATTCACACCAGAGAAAAAACGTTCAAATGCCATCACTGTGGGAAGAGTTTCGGTTATAAAGTAAGCCTTAAGACTCACATGAGACTTCACACTGGCGAAAAGCCTTACACCTGCCATCAGTGTGGAAAGAATTTCACATATACAGCAACGCTTAATGCCCACATGAGAAGTCACACTGGAGAGAGGCCGTTCATATGTGGTCAGTGTGGAAAGAGTTTCACACGCAAAGGAAACCTTAATTACCACTTGAGGATTCACTCAAGAGAGAACAGTTTTAAATGTTATCAGTGTGGAATGAGTTTTACAGACAGGAATCACCTTAAGAATCATGTAATAACTCACACCGGAGAGAAGCCTTTCCTGTGCCATCACTGTGGAAAGACTTGCACAAACAAAGCGAATCTTGAGGTTCACATAAGAGTTCACACTGGAGAGAGGCCTTTCACCTGCCCTCAGTGTGGGAAAAGTTTTACACTTAGAGGGAATCTTAAGACTCACATAAGAGTTCACACTGGAGAGAAGCCTTTCACATGTCTTCAGTGTGAAAAGAGTTTCACATATCAAAGAGACCTGAAACGTCATTTGCAAACTCATTCTGACAAGAAATTACAGTGTTCCGAGTGTGGAAAGGGATTTCAGAAAAGTAGCAATTTCAAAAATCACCTGCACATTCACTCCGGAGGGAGACGATTTCATTGTGATCAGTGTAATAAAACATTTATTTTGCCATCACACTTACAGATACACTTGAAGAGTCATGCAGATGTGAGACGCTATTTGTGTTCTGTGTGTGGTAAGAGGTTTAAATGGCTCGGCGATTTAAAATGGCACCAGAAAATACGTATCTGTGTGAAATTGAAAATTTCACCTTAGCTGAATGCGGGCCAAATCTGATTGTCCAGCTTCATGACCATTTGCCTCCGTATACTTTGTCTTGAGGCTTCTTATTTCCTTTTGCCATGTACATATTAACTTTTGTGGCCACACCTCACCATCTCCTTTGCTATATAAAATATTGAGTGGTTGAGCTAGACACCCTCTAATTTTGATTCTATAGAGGTGTGTCGCTCCATTCCATATGTTTATATCTCGGAATCGTAATATTAGTTCAACTTCTGTCTTGCTGTGAATTGCTACAATATACATTATAAGAAAGACTATAAATAAAAGGACACACGCTGAAAAATGCACAGTTAAAGATATGTTATCTGCCTAGTATACTCCATTTGATAGCATGTGCGAACACAGGTGCACTAGAAAATGTAATCTCTGTCCAGTGTCTGCATTGTTTCTCTCCAGAAGTAATGAGTAATAAATATGTCTTGTTAAATATTTACTTGTATAAAGTAGAATTATGAATGACAAAAACTTGTCAATGTAGGCATATTTTGTGTCTCCAGTACTCTTTGTTGTTCTGTCAGCTTGTTTTCTTTTTCAAACGTGAAACAATTGCTTGTGAACAAACTAGTGTCCAAGTGCAAAAAAAAAAAAACCCTGCGCATGAGCTGAGTGTATGCTGTTAGAAAAATATGGCTTTGCGTGTAGGTACATACTATGCTGATGATGACATTTATGTCACGCACTGTCTGTAAACCCTAGTAGTGTACGCCTAAAAACCAAAGTATAATGTGGTAGATTTATAGAATCTGCTTCATAGATTTACAGAAGTAGTTGTTAAGAATGCTTCTCTTTTTCATGTGGTAGTATGCAATTCATCACCCATGAGCATGGGGCACACTCCTATTTCTTGTGCTTCACACAATATCCACATCCCCTCCCATTTGTCTCAGCTATTGCTTGCTGTTGTATGAATACCTGGCTAATAAGCTGTTGGGCTCATGAGTATAGAGGGTATGCACGTGACGTCACCGTCAGCTGGAGTGACTGCAGTTCCACCCACTGAGGGGCAAAAAGACTGAATAACAGCATTGGTTTTCAGCGAGAAAGCTGTGACAGAACACACAAAACACATCTAAAACAACAAATAGATTTGACAAGAAATCTGAGGTATATATTACAGACTGCCGAAAGCTACAGAAAAGAGAAGCAAATGGATCCCTGCAATTCAAAGAAGCAAATGGACTCTAGGCAGCGAAACACAGATCTGCAGTTATCATTTTATGTTAATGTTGAATTTTGCGGATAAATCATACCCTATATATTGTATTGTTTTATATCATGTTGACTACTCATCAATTAAGTATTTACCATCTTATATTCTGCATAACTGGATGTTTTTAAATAAACACTGACAAAAACGATACAGGTTTTTGGGTTGGACGATATATATAACATTGGTATAGTGATCACCCGGATTTAGACCAACCTAATTTGTAGTCCCCGGCGTTGAAATCAGGCACATATAAATGTCAGGAAACACGATTCCTGGCTGCACATCAATATCCATGAACCACTGGATTTTTGATAAGTTGTAAGGAACACTATATCAAGTCCAACAATCTTTAGTTTAAACTGATTATCTTTGTTTTTTACTTGCGTTTTCACAGCTTCCCTTTTAAGTTCAGTCATGCAGTACTGTAGGCTCTATTGCCACTCAGTCTGACTGAGGGGGTGTGTTCCGGCGGGAAAGTGGCATCAATGAAAATACCCTCAATTGTGCTGATTGGATTTTTCCCTAACTTTTTCTTAAGCCCAAAACGATTTTAGCAATCCTATAAGATCAATGCATGCCACGCTGTCGTGAATCTAATAAACTTGGCTACGACGTGTGTAGACTGAACGATGATGACACCTATTGACTCGTACACTACGACGCACGTTACTACAGAAGAAAAAAACATCATCAGCATGAGCTAGTGGTAAACAAAAAAGCATAATCACACTTTAGCAGTTGTATTTTTGTGTGTGCTGAAAAAAAAGTGGAGAACTTGAGGTAAACAGTTTTCTATACAAAAACTTGTCAATGTAGGCATATTTTGTGTCTCCAGTACTCTTTGTTGTTCTGTCAGCTTGTTTTCTTTTTCAAACGTGAAACAATTGCTTGTGAACAAACTAGTGTCCAAGTGCAAAAAAAAAAAAAACCCTGCGCATGAGCTGAGTGTATGCTGTTAGAAAAATATGGCTTTGCGTGTAGGTACATACTATGCTGATGATGACATTTATGTCACGCACTGTCTGTAAACCCTAGTAGTGTACGCCTAAAAACCAAAGTATAATGTGGTAGATTTATAGAATCTGCTTCATAGATTTACAGAAGTAGTTGTTAAGAATGCTTCTCTTTTTCATGTGGTAGTATGCAATTCATCACCCATGAGCATGGGGCACACTCCTATTTCTTGTGCTTCACACAATATCCACATCCCCTCCCATTTGTCTCAGCTATTGCTTGCTGTTGTATGAATACCTGGCTAATAAGCTGTTGGGCTCATGAGTATAGAGGGTATGCACGTGACGTCACCGTCAGCTGGAGTGACTGCAGTTCCACCCACTGAGGGGCAAAAAGACTGAATAACAGCATTGGTTTTCAGCGAGAAAGCTGTGACAGAACACACAAAACACATCTAAAACAACAAATAGATTTGACAAGAAATCTGAGGTATATATTACAGACTGCCGAAAGCTACAGAAAAGAGAAGCAAATGGATCCCTGCAATTCAAAGAAGCAAATGGACTCTAGGCAGCGAAACACAGATCTGCAGTTATCATTTTATGTTAATGTTGAATTTTGCGGATAAATCATACCCTATATATTGTATTGTTTTATATCATGTTGACTACTCATCAATTAAGTATTTACCATCTTATATTCTGCATAACTGGATGTTTTTAAATAAACACTGACAAAAACGATACAGGTTTTTGGGTTGGACGATATATATAACATTGGTATAGTGATCACCCGGATTAGAATCTGCTTGATAGATTTACTGAAGTAGTTGTTCAGAATGCTTCTCTTTTTCATGTGGTAGTATGCAATTCATCACCCATGAGCATGGGGCACACTCCTATTTCTTGTGCTTCACACAATATCCACATCCCCCTCCCTTTTGTCTCAGCTATTGCTTGCTGTTGTATGAATACCTGGCTAATAAGCTGTTGGGCTCATGAGTATAGAGGGTATGCACGTGACGTCACCGTCAGCTGGAGTGACTGCAGTTCCACCCACTGAGGGGCAAAAAGACTGAATAACAGCATTGGTTTTCAGCGAGAAAGCTGTGACAGAACACACAAAACACATCTAAAACAACAAATAGATTTGACAAGAAATCTGAGGTATATATTACAGACTGCCGAAAGCTACAGAAAAGAGAAGCAAATGGATCCCTGCAATTCAAAGAAGCAAATGGACTCTAGGCAGCGAAACACAGATCTGCAGTTATCATTTTATGTTAATGTTGAATTTTGCGGATAAATCATACCCTATATATTGTATTGTTTTATATCATGTTGACTACTCATCAATTAAGTATTTACCATCTTATATTCTGCATAACTGGATGTTTTTAAATAAACACTGACAAAAACGATACAGGTTTTTGGGTTGGACGATATATATAACATTGGTATAGTGATCACCCGGATTTAGACCAACCTAATTTGTAGTCCCCGGCGTTGAAATCAGGCACATATAAATGTCAGGAAACACGATTCCTGGCTGCACATCAATATCCATGAACCACTGGATTTTTGATAAGTTGTAAGGAACACTATATCAAGTCCAACAATCTTTAGTTTAAACTGATTATCTTTGTTTTTTACTTGCGTTTTCACAGCTTCCCTTTTAAGTTCAGTCATGCAGTACTGTAGGCTCTATTGCCACTCAGTCTGACTGAGGGGGTGTGTTCCGGCGGGAAAGTGGCATCAATGAAAATACCCTCAATTGTGCTGATTGGATTTTTCCCTAACTTTTTCTTAAGCCCAAAACGATTTTAGCAATCCTATAAGATCAATGCATGCCACGCTGTCGTGAATCTAATAAACTTGGCTACGACGTGTGTAGACTGAACGATGATGACACCTATTGACTCGTACACTACGACGCACGTTACTACAGAAGAAAAAAACATCATCAGCATGAGCTAGTGGTAAACAAAAAAGCATAATCACACTTTAGCAGTTGTATTTTTGTGTGTGCTGAAAAAAAAGTGGAGAACTTGAGGTAAACAGTTTTCTATTTTAATGCCATGTCGCATTCTTGAGGTGTGGTAACCGTAGTATAAGCGGAATAATTGACTCCGGGCCGTTTAATTATTAGAAAAATAATGCACACCTGAGGTGGTGATGCGGCCGCGAAGCGGAGCACAAAAATAGGTTATTAATAATATACCATGAATGTTTTTGATAAAGAATCATTTAAAGGAATATGATTTTCAAATAATTGTAGTAATTGTTGGGACTAAATTAACTCAACCAAACAACATTCTGGATTAATCAGATTTTTTCAGACGACGACTTGCATGTACACAAAATAAGTCGGATGCAAAAGTGAACTTGACTATGCTAGTCAGAATGTGTGAATCTCTTGCTGTGGATGTGCTCTTCCCAAAACAATGTGCTAACATTCTATTACAGTTGATTTCTCGTTAAAATGTTATTTATACAACAGCTTCAGTCCTCAAATTTTATTGATGGGATTATTTTTTCGGAGTGTCTATTTACACTAAGTGCAAATAGCCTGCCTTGTTGGCAGAGGCTATTTACACTAACTCCGCCCACCAACGTGTGATTGGGCTAGTCAACATTACAAAAGACTGTTGATAGTCGTCAGCTCCAGTGGCGCTCATAGCAACTTGTCAGACGAGCTTATTCCTGTTTCCGACGAGTGCTTGGGTCAGCTGGCCAATCAGAGCAGACTGCATTTGTCGGAAGGAGGGACTTTGTAGAAAACGAAGCATTTGAGAGAGGCGGGGCATATAGGACCTACAATAATGTACAGTATTTGAAAAATAATGTGTTTTTTGAACATTAAAGCATGTCAACATATTCTGTTACACCAAATACACAAAATAATGATCTTTAAAAAAGCATCATATGACCCCTTTAAAGCTGCGACAATTTAGTGCATGAAGTATCCAATATTCCACACTTAATTTTTTCGGTTATTTAAGTGCATCATCTGGGTATTTAAAGTGCACTTTTTCTTTTTGGAATTTTTAGTGTGAACGCACTACTCACACTATTTATACGATTTGGGATGCACCTCTGGTATTGACATCCACAAATGAGCCAATCACTGTTTGTAGCACTTCGGGAA